TCCTTTTCTCCATATTTAGCGCAACCAAGTGTATGACCTTTTGCTATTGCTAGCAGCTCTGCTTGTTTGTGTTAGGCTGGAACAATCTACTAATACATGGATCTTGTCGCATAATCATGTGGTCTATTCAGTGATTCCTGAAGCTTGATACCTGTTTCTAGGCTCATTTCCCCCCCTTTTTTTATATGTTTAGGCCTACATAGGTTACACCAGCGTGACGATGGTGAACGGCAGGCCGGTGGGACCTACAGAGCCTGTAACATCTAGATATATGCAAACATCCCGCCGAATGCAACCAGATTCGCAGGTAATTGTGAATGAACAATGTGTTCTGTTCTTTCATTCTTCTTTGGGATTCTTAATATCTTCATTGAACGAATTTTGTGTATTATGCAGATCTTCATTTTATCTATTAGCCCATTTCAAAAAACGGTGATTACTTATCTAATGATCTTATTTGATTTGGGATTGAAAACCTGCCACTCGAACAGACCAAGATCGTACGAGAACTTTTTTGCATACACTGCGACTCATTTCTGTCGCGCCGGGGTATGCGCGCAATTCTGCTGGGCGATACGAACGTAGAACTGTTCTCTACGGACATAGCTCCCAAGAAGGTACGTTGCATTCCCAGTTCGTGGTGTGTGTAAAGTGTGCAGTGTTGCCTTTCGAGTAGTGGGTTGATTGGTGGCTATGCAAGCTTGCTACAGATTAAATGAGCAGAACAAATCGGTGTGCTATGAATTGAATCATACGCATGTGACTATGATTGTAAAATTTTGATTGTTTTGAGCGATTGCTAATAAAAATGAAGAGGTCAACGATAATTATATTGGTATGTGTGCCGACGCATCCTATCATAATACACATGTCAAAACATGTAGTAAATTTGAATATGTATACGTTTCTCCGGGGTGTAAGTTGTGCCTTTGGGAAAGTAGTAGTCAAACAATCCGGGGTTTTATTTATATTTATGTCTATGTATATTTGATAAACATTCATATAAAAATGCATTGTGTCTATGAATCGTATTCATAGATACTTCCCATACTTCTAATTATACCCGTGTATGTACATGCACATGGATTTTAGATTCAGACATATACCTACGTATAAGTTTTGTGTATCTTGTTTACATACAACTCAAATAGTGTCTGTCAAGTGCGAAATATACGATAAATACAGTTGTCTACAATCCTTCATTTGCATCCATAGCTGGTTCAGCATATTTGTATTTGTATTTGCAAAATCAGTTACTACACACGTGCCTCGTCATGTGTCTTACTGAAATATCAGCCTCTTAAATTGGGAGCGTTTTACCCTGATTTTTCTGTATATCTGGCTCTAGAAATATTCTGATTTAATTGTCTTCAATATCCTTAAAATTTCGTAGTCTGTAGGATTAGTAGGAGAAGACTACGTGACCAAAAATTGCCTTTGCCGAATCAAGGATATCGCCTGTCTATGCTGCGGTAACGTTATGGGTTATCACGTCACCAAACCTTGCTCAACCTGCTTACAGGCATCCCACAATGGGCACTTCTGGATGTTCCACAGTGAGGTGAGCTTATGGACGTATCAAATGTATAGACACGTGCCAAAATTTCAATCGTGTGTCACATGGCCGTGATTTTAGACGACTGAGTATGTATGGTGTATAGTTTACTTCGATCTATCCTTTGAATATAAATAGCAATCTACAATCCTGACTTTATTTTACTGGCTCCCTGTAGAATCTTCGCTACAAGGATCGAAAGGACCCTGACAGCAAGACGACTATGACATGGGGGTCCATTCCAAATACAGTGATGGATCAAGATGCGCCTTTGGTATGATTGTTTCGAGTGTTGTGCGATAGGGAATTTCATTGTGTCGGGTTAGGTTATGCCGGCGATTGGCCACACGTGGCCATAGTCTTGACTGATTTCCGCTGGTGTTTATTCTTCACCATTACATTGTTACAGGTGTATGAAATGGACACCTCTACCCAATTAAAACGAGATTTCGAGGCGATTCGGTAACCACTGGAACTGCAGCTCAAGCCTCAACCTGTAGTAATATCGGAGCCAATCTCAGTTTCTAGAAAGACAACGCTATTTTAATCTAGTCAAGTACATACACCACTTTTCACCTGCAATACTATCAGTCGTTTTGGGAATTAACGGCACAATCGCTTAATTTTTCGGAGACTTCGGAGTTAAACTATAGCGCTGTAGCTTGCAATACACAATTCTTCACTCGAGTCTAGTTTCTAATCATCATACGTGCGAAAGCAAGAACTCCAGTTAGACAAAACTGGTCATCCGCTTAGACTTTTCCTTCAACAAATAAAAAACGTCTCCGACTAGAATTCGACCTTGTGGCAGCTCATTGTCATGCCCCAGTAGCACAAGTCGTCGAATAGAGCGTTTTGGAGCGAATCGACTTCATAGGAAAAGCATGGATGGACTAATCGATACGTGCCACTCAATGCGGTGATGTGTACAAAGGCCCGTGTTGTATTCTATCGTCCATACCACGCGCAAATTAGATTGCGTGCTCGATAAGTTCTGTCATAGAAGTTGTTGCTACGATGTTGGTAGTATTTGAGGTCCAAACTCGCTATCTCCGGCCGATATGTAGGAAGGCTTGTTGTATGTACCAACTAAACCACTGATGAATGTTCTTCGAACGAATATCTCCACATCAAAAAAACAACAACACGAGGTACATAAGTCGGTACACAAGTTATAACCCCCTTTAGAAGTGGTCGTTTTAGCATGCATATGATGCATATGGGTACTATTGCCAGTACATATGCCAACTACACAGTATTTACATATGTAAGATTAAAGATAGACTGTGATGACAGTGCATAAACACAAAATATAGTGAAAAGACGTGCCCCCCTAGAGTGATGTTGCGGTCGAAAGGCAATTCGGACGAACAGGCAATTCTCCATGATACGGAAAACTGCCTTTTGACTGAAATACTATTTTACCTGACTTGTCCTGTTGTCCAGAGGGCCGTGAAAAGAATGTTGTAAAAAAAGGTACATCAGTACTACATAGAGTATTTACTATTTAGCTGTCTGACCAAGGAATCTATTTATTTTTCTGACTCCGAGGCCCGAACGACGCCAAAAAGCACCCGAAAGGCCGAGTCGCCGAGACCAGAATTCTCAATTCTGAATTCTGAGATCTGATTCTAAAATATGTAATGCTTTACATAGAGTGCTTTAGTTTTAGAATTATGTACAGTATTTTATATATAGCTTTTTATCACTTTTTTTTAGTGTATTTAATTATATTTTTAATAATTGTTTTTAAAATAAATAAATACAGAAGGCTATGATATTGTTTTGAAAAAAATTAATAGGGTCAGTGAGACAGTGACAGTCTGACTCTGAACCGGTATATTGTACTTCCTGTTGGGCAGACTCTCTTTTTATTTATAAATTAAATAGCTCCTTCTGTAAATACAACAAGAGGGGGGTCAGTGACGGTCATGACTCATACGGCAAAAAAGCAAAAAACACAAAGTCATGGCCTTGCAATATAAATCCAAAATATATTGTTTTATATCAGAAGGCGATGACAATGATACGGCAAAAAATATTTATCTTGTGGGGCTCATTGCTCAAATGCACCACAATACCAAGTGCAGCTACCAAGTTCAGCAGTTTTTGGCAATACAGTTTACACACCCAAAAGATACATACAAAAAGGGTCGAGATTATCACCGATTCGCTGACAATGATTGCTGGCGACGAAGAACGAGGCCAGCAGGAGACCTCGACAACCAGTCTATGTGGTGTAGACACAGGCACCACAGCTAGACGACAAGGGTGTTTTGTCTTGACTCGAAACCAAACAATAGCGCTCGTATGCTTGGGTGTTATAGTAGTGGTAGGTGTTGGGGTGGGCATATATTTTGGTGTTTCTGGTGATAGCTCAAGCAGTGACACGGGCGATGAGTATGCGTCCATTCCCGTTCCCTCGCTATCTCCGGAAGCCACACAGCCGCCAGCAAATGAGTGCTCGTTCTCAGTGTGCGGGGAGTGCTATGCTACTTTGCAAGACGCGGCAACTCAATCACCGTGTGATGGAGAGGAGGATCTGGTTGTCCAGGTACTCGTAGACGAATACCTCGTGTACGAGCCTATAGTATTAGAATCATCCTCTTTGATACTTTCAGGAGAGAATCACGTGTCTGAGGGGAATAGTGTGCCCGTCATTGCTGCGGCGTTTTCAGGCCAAGAGCGAGGTCTTATCGAATGTGCTGCTTCGACCAGCATACAACTGAGCTTAAAGAGTCTGTCATTCAACGGGAACGGTCAAATAGTCTCTGCTGCACGGTATGTTTGGCTTGTATTTGAATGAGTAAGAAAGTGAGTGAATTATATGCACTCGAATAATCTTCACAGAATAATTTGCGCTGATTAATCATAATAATTAGTGCCGCAGTCCGATCCATCCGGTCGGTTCGTATACCTAGTTCTCTGCTTTTAAATTTACAATAATATATTGGTCATGGTCATACATATGTAATTATATGATGTCACCCTCTAAAGCAGCGCAACCTCAGGTCAATACATGAATACGCGGTACATTGGCACAAGCACCTGGTTCCACACACACACACATACACGTACATATATTTATACATACATTAACATAAACATATAAAAATACGCTCACACACATTATATATATGTATATATATATATATGTTTGTATATAGGTATATGTATGTATGTATGTATGTATGTATACATACAAACACACAT